CAAAAAGATTAAAAAAGAAGCTATAAAAAGAACTACTCTATATTTTCAAACTTTTCTACCTTTTATTATTCAACATCTGAAATATATTCATGACTAATTTTTTGAAAGAGCCAGCTAAGTTTATATCAAAGTCATCAATAGAATTAGAGGGTTTCATTTTTTGTGATTTTCTTTTTGAATTAATATGTTCTGATTTTTTGTGTTTTGTCATTGCTAGTGTTGGAAAATATTTGTTACATATAGTGTAGCAAAGATGGGTATGCATTTCAGATGAAACAGATGGATAATGAGTATCATAAGGTGGTAATTTTAATTTGTCAATATATTGTAAAATATGAATCAGATTAAGAAAATGTCCATTTTGACTTTTTGTAACTGGTGACAAAAAGCCATTATTTTTTGCAAGAAAAGTAGCTGATTTTTTATATTTTACAGGATTACAGCAAGTAATGTTATTGCATTTTTTAATATCAAGGCTATATCGACAAATTTGAGTATGTCTCTCTATCCATTTTCAAGGAACTTCGGATTCTTCATTAATTTGCTGTTCAAATATTTTATCTTTCATAAAGAGTATATTTGAAAATAAAGAAATATTATCTTCAACATATTAGGTTAATACTAGTTTTCCAAAGATTTGAACTCAATTCCAAAGATTGCATAAGGCTTCTCCAGCATGACGAAAATTTCTTTTTGCAAAATCTTGATTTATGATCTTTCCTTGACTATTTAGATAAGAGCCAAATGTATTTATTTGTAAAGTTATACCAACTAATTTTTCAGAAAGAGTACATATACTTCTTTCAACAAGATTATAAGCTGATTGACCTGAAGCGTGAGTTCTTATTGTTAAATAGTCAAAATCAAAATATCAAAATAACTTGCAATATTCATATATATTTTTTAGATGTTGGGATTTTCATCTGGTCCTCCATTAACTAGAAAAATCCAGATTGGTTTAATTTGATCATTATTTTTAAAAATGCTAGCAAATGATTCTTGACATGTAAGAGAGATCAAATCAGTCATATGTGTATTTGCATTTGTACCTACATTATATTTTGGGCGAATAAAAATACCTAGTTGACCATGACAAAATGCATTATTAGAATCTGAAGGATCAATAGTAAGATAAACAGATGAAATTATTTTTTTGCTAAGCTTCAGTTGGGAAATCATGATCTGTGATCAAAATAGCTTCTTTTATTGATTGCATTGTTTGAAAAGTTTTTCCAACAGCAGGAATACCAAGTGGAACTTTTGCTTTATCATCTTGTGAAATGATGACAGATTGGGAAGAAAACAATGCTGCAAACTACTTTACTCCTTTAATAGAAGAAAGACAATAATGCTCATCTATATGTTCTTTTTTTTCTGTTCTTGAAACACCTGCAATTGCTACTAATGCAGGATAACGATGTGCTTTGGCAGCAAGACTTGAAGAATTTTGTGGTAAAATATATGTATTTAATGTTGTTCTTGTAAGGTACTCATTATATTTCTCTTGTAATGCTAAACGAAGATGGTGAATAGTTCTTACTTTAATCACTTCACGTTGTCATTTTTCATGTGCTTTTCCAAATTCAATACAATCATAAATGTGTTCATGAAGATCAGGATATTTGTAAAGAATTGATGATCGTCCAGGTGAATCATATGTTATTACTTCTTGATTTTCATGTAATATTTTTAATTTTTTTGCTGCTGATTTGGCATTTCGTTTCAATGTTGCAATTCTTTTAGTCTCATCAGTAATTACTTTTGTTGTTGTTGCAATTCGCTGCAAAATATCATGTTTTAATTCTGGATCTCTAGCTATTTCATAGGTTGCCTGTAAATCAAGTAATTTTGTGGACATTTCTTTTTTTATTGTAAGAGCTTTTTTTTGTGCTGCAGCATTTTTAGGTACTTCCTCCTCAATGATGATTATATCTGGCTTTTTGGAAGAATTTGATGTTTGAGGACTATCAGGCAATTGTGGAAGGTTAGAATGGGATTGTACAAAACCTTGCAAATGCAAAGGAATTGGCATAGCAAGATAAGTTTCAATTTAATTTGCAATTTCTTCTGGCTTTTTTTTAATTTCTTTCCATGCTTCTGTAGATTCTGAACAAAGGTCCGATTTTTTATATGTAGGATTTCCTGTTTTTATCATACGATGATATGCAAATGCATTTGTAAAAAGTTGGTGTTGTGTGGTTGGATTTTTATAGATATAATTTTTATTATATTTTGGCGTAATTAGAAATTTTTGCATTTTGAAAGTCAAATAAAAAATCAATCAATATATAAGAAAGTCAATTTTTTATCCTTTTTTACGATTTCTTGATTAATTAAGGCGCAGTAAGATGAAAGGCGCAATATTAAAAAAAGTCAAAATTTTCCTTTTTTATAATTGTTTTTATGACTTATTGATGCTACTCTTTTAAATTATTTCCACTTTATACTTCGTTTTGTAAATATAACTTTGAAAAAGCAGATAAAAAGAAAGCGCAGTAACGCGAATGGCGCAGAACGCGTACAACGCATACTATATTTTATATAAAATCTTTGCTGATCAACCATCGTGTAACATATCCGTTCCTCAGGAGGGGGGGGGGGGAGGATCTCTATAATAAATAGCATATCTGTCATGACCCTTAGAATCTCTGAACTTCAGTAATTGTATATGAAGTTATATACCTAACGGTTTGTAACCCTCGAATATTGCTAAAAGCACAATCGATGATCAAAGACCAAACGTTCGCATCATACCAGCCTTCTAGGTGAACCAATTTGAGACTTTCATCTGGTCTTCGTAATACATTAGACTATTTATAAAGTATACATACATTCATGAGGATTTCTACAATATTAGGGGTTAAGCATAAAAAAAAAACCTACAAGCGCCTCATTACAAGATCAATCCATTCGACGTCAAAATGAATTTCCCGGTCAAACAGTTCGTTCTTGTTTCGACAGGATGTCGTTTCCAACACTTTTCTTAAATCAGCAGTTGTTCGGATCTGAAATTCAGCAATACACAACCTTTTGTTTAAGAACAGGGAGAGAGAAGAGAGGAAGGAATTTGTTTACTCACATTTCTAAATCTTGACAACGTTTTAGCAACACGCTCGTCTACCAAAGGTAGTCCACGGACCTCCTCCGTAATTTCACACCAATCATCATCAGTGAACAACTGTTTGATTTCCCAATCACTTAAGTCAATTATCCACGAGTGGATTGAAGATTCAACTGACAATTGTTTTCCTTTGTTGAAGAGAACATCTTCAACGCATATGCCCGAAGACAATATCCATTTCTTTGATTGGCTCATAGCGTTGTAAGAATCAACAAAACACTCAAGTTTTGATGGGAGTAACAACGGTGCATGCTTTGTAACATCTGTATCACTGGAAAAGAATATGGAAATGAAGTTGTGACCAAAAAAAAAATCAAAGAATTGTTATACAATACCTTGGTAAATACTCCGATTCTGAATCCTCAGAGTCAGATTCATCAGCTTCCTCATCGGTTTCGTATGAAATGTCTTGTTTCTGCCGTTTCTTAAACATATTAGTTGATTTTCCTTCAGAAATCTGAAAAAAATTATCGATCTCGTCCTACATAAAAATACAAGGTCAATATCATGAAATGACATAAAAATAAGTAACATTAACTATTTCTGTACTTTTTGATCTCTTTTACTTTCAGTCAATTTATTATCATTGATAGTTCCAGAGTTATTAACCATAGCGTTCCCTGCGAATGTTGAGTTGTGTAGGTAAATTGGAGATCCACCAATCGTTCTGTCTGATTTGCGTTAAACCTCCCATTTTCTTGCAACTTGACGATCTGGTCGAGTATCCTGGAATGAATGATAGAATTAGCAATTTACAACGCATATTTATAATTCCTCGTCCAATTTTTTTCGTCCCGTCAGATCGGCTAGCAACCTTGAACATCTGACGACCTAGCAAGTCGCCCATGCTCCAACGGGGTCAGTGTAGAGTCGGCTAGCAACCTTGAACATCAGACGACCTAGCAACCTCAACACTGGCTTTATGGCTCGGCTAACAACCTTGAATGATCGACGACCTAGCAAGTCCCCGTCACGCCAATTATTTTCACTTGCATTCATTTCAAAACGAAAAAATTACTTGCTTCTCTATATCTATCAAGAAGAATTTGCGCTCTTCGAGACCTGTTTCGCGTTTAACAATATCTTGGAGTCTTTTTAGGTAACGATCTATTTTTAGTTCAAGTGGTTCTACTTCACCTTCTTCTAGAAATCCAGTTATGTTCCATTCGGAAGTTACGATCGAAATAATCATGCGTTCTGTTTGACATGGTGAGAGCCAGTGTATGAAATCTATTTGCGGAATTTGCGGAGCGCAACTTGTTTTTTGATTTCCGCAAATTACACGTGATTGTGATCTGCGCATCGCGCAACCTCAATTTTATAAATTTTGCAAATTTTTTGCAAAATGTTGTGCAAAATTGTGCAAATATTCCAAAAATGTTCTTTACCTTCAAATATTTATCCATTTAGGTAATTAAATTCGTGGAATAGAGCCCACGGATTCGTGCATTTGCATAATTTCGCATGTGTGATGCGGAATTATAGTGCATAAATGCATCGCACTTTTATCATTTTTTGCATTTTCACGTGATATATTATGTATTTCCCACCAATTTTTTGAAAAACATAAATTCTCATTCTGCTTTACCATTATTCAATGCAATTCAATGTTTTAACCCTCAATTTATTCAATTATCTCAAAATAGACATATTTTAACTAATTATAATCTTAGAAATTTTTGAGAAAGGTGATTTCAATATGATTACCTATTTCAGGAGTTAATATTAAACATAGTTTTTCTAATTATAGAAGAATTTTAGATGATAAGATCACTTTCAGAAAATTCTATTGAAATGTTAAAATTATTTATATTATAATAATCAATAAAATAATAAAGTATATTTTTTATTATATAAAAAATTTTATTTGCATATTTTGCATTTTTGGTAACATTAAAATACATATTTTTTATTTTTGTATTACATGAAACTGTAGGCTCTATCATGAAATAAAATAAAGAATAGATCAAAAAAAGACAATCAGACAAAAATCTATCTTTTATTTTTTTTGTCTTATTCAAAAATGAAAAAATATTTTCAAAGTGCAGGTAGCTTAAAAGAAAAATATAAAGAATGTGATAATGATATTGAAGTAATTGAACCTCTATTGGCACTTTTAAATCACGCAAAAAAATACCAAATAAAAAATATAAAAAGAAACGAAATAACTGAAATTCCAGGTGGTTACAAACCTATTCATGGTTAGTAAGAAGAGAGGACATGAAGGGAAACCTTTTTATATATTATATATAGTGTAAAGAGGGTAAAGCAAATAATATTTTTACAAAAGGTTGCAACAAATTCAAAAAAGATTATCTCATTAAGCATATAAAAACTGAGGCATAATATCAATTTCAAAATTGAGAAATAACACAAATTACTTAAATATAGTTACTAGTTTTGTAACACAATTAGGAATAGAAAAATCAATCAATGAATAATGCTTATTTTTGCTCAAAACAAAATTTAGCACTCAATATATATCCTGACCTTAGTAATCTCATAGAATATTAAATAAAAAATAACATCAAAATTAATTATCAAACACAACCTACCAAAGTTTTACCACCTCCCTTATATTTACAAATATTACCTATAACTTCCACTCTTTCTAATAATTATACTACATACAAAAATCTTAAAGCTAGACTCAATTTTATTAAATCAATTTTATATGTAATTGAACATCAAGTTATAGAAGAAATTAATCAAAGTATTGGATAAAGTATTCTTTTAGACAAAAGTACTACAATTACTACATTTAACAATAGTTAGCAAACATATAATGGGAAATGAGCCAGTTTTATGATATTTTGATATTATAGATTTAGAGAGATATGATACGAATTTAATTATGAAAAATATTGAAATATTTTTAAGTGTAAAAGGTTTATCAATTCAGTCTTTATATTATATAGAAAGTGATAGAGTATCTGTAATGACAGGTAAATTTTGTAATAATATATATAATATTAATTTATTATTTATTTTTATTTAATATATTTACATTTTCATTTTTTTAGGAAGAATTATTGGAGTAGCCATACAATTAAAAAATAAAAAATCCATTTATGACTGCAATCTATTATATAGCATATCGATTTGCACTTGTTGGTAAAGATTTAGCAAAAGATATACCATATTTCAAAGAATATGAATCTACTTTAAAGAGATTATATGCTTATTTTAGTAGATTTTATAACTGATTGAAAAATTTGCGTATGATTCAAGCTGATGATGATGATGATCCTAGACTAGCTATATTGAAATTAGTTTCAACATAATGGTTATCATTATTACAAACTGTTTTCAATTTGCATCATATTTTAAATTTTATTATTACATCTTTACAAATAGATATTCTTGTTGATAATAATAGAACTGAATTAGCAAAAAAAATTATTAGAAGAATTATATCTGAATTTTATTTTAGGAACTAAATTTTTGGCTAATCTTTTTGATATTTTATAATAATTAATTAAAGCATTTTAAGAAGATTTTATCATATTATTAGATATGTATAGTCCCTAGCGAAAAGAATGGCGGAAAGTTTTTTTTGAATAATAAAAGTTTTTAATAAATAACTTTCAAAATTTTTTTATTCTCAAATGCTTTTGATTAAGAAATT